ATTCAGCACTTCTTTTGAACGGTGCTTCAACGGGAAGACGAGATTCGTGTTCTGCATGCGAATACTGTACTCAGCATTTTGGAATCCCCTATGTAATTGTATACGAGTATGTCTTACCTAGATTTTGAACGGATGCAGTGCAGTAATGTACTCTATTTAAAAAAGTTGAAAATAGTTCTATGCAGTGTAGAATAACAAAACGTATTTTGATGTGAGAGACTCGCGAGAACAATATACAATGACGTTACATTTTGTGCACGAGAAGTGAGTTGGGGTGGCGTGTAATGTCTGATCTTTTAAAGTAGATTGCCTATAGTTATGGATACAGGCCAAACAGATGAAGTTCTAATTAGGTTTGCAGTGTACAATATTTGGTATGTTGTATGGTGAAAATGGGCCGCATCTTAATTCGTCATTGCATTTACCGGAGGATTCTTCCTTCGCCGTATTTGAAAAGAAAAATATTTTTTTCACATTGGCCGCCTCCGAAGCGAGCGGACCATACTTGAACTAATCTAAACGAGAGTGATTGCTTTGGCTAAAAAAAACCCCAAAATCTTGGATTAGATTTCTGTAGATGAGATGAGTAAGTCGAAGAGCGTCATGTTTGCTGACCAACGTGACCCGTCTTGGTTGCGTTTGTAGAGGCTGTATTTGGTCAGGTTAGATCGCATGTGCCGGAAATGCGGTCAACTGCGGGTTTATACTGGGATTTACCACGTCATGTAATCCTACTTGAATAGCCGTCTTACATGTGAGTCGGAGAAGCAAGTGACACGGTATGAGATCAAGCCAACAGCTTCATATACTGCACCTCGGCGGTCGGTCGTTTCCTTTATGCGAAAAAAAAAAAGATCTCTGAAAAATTTCATGTTTGAGTTGGCAGCGGCACGTTTCCGCGAAGTTTGTTGAAGCGTTTTTCGCAGCTTTTTTTTCCTCAAATGTTTTTCTTCGCGGTGGAAAGCGAGAGGGGGAGAATTAGAGCAAATCTAGGTTTTGCGGCGAGGCTTTCGCACAAATTCCGCCCGCGTGGCTCTTTCTGGGGGCTCTCTTCTGTCTTTTTTTTTTTTTTTTTTTCAAATGCATATATTTTATTTGAAATCGTCCTGTTTGCGGAGAGGAGAAAAAACGGAAAGAATAAAAATCCCAGTCGTTCGCAGTAGCAGCAGGAGCCTGGATGTTGGTTTTATTTCGCGCGTCGACGGGGTTATTTTGCACCGCCTGCGAATTTCCCTCTGCCAACATAATTTTACAACGTTACGCAAACTTTCTGCGCGCGCGTTGATTTTTCGGCGGTCGCCGCCGAGCGCGCGCGCTGGGAATTCCGCCGACCTTTTTTTTGTGCTTTGTTTTGTTCTTCCAACTTCACCCGGGGATTTTATCGCAGTAATTATCACTGAGCAAATATTGCGTCGGCTCCCTTCTTTTTGAAAGCGGAAGTGTGGGTCGGGATTTTGCTGCCTCTGCTTTTTCTCTGGTGGTCGCGTAAGGGGGGGAAGCGTTCTTGTTTTATTTGGTGTCGTTGGTATGGATCGAAGTGCCAAATGCGATGTTGTTTCCTGCCTGGCGCGGTCGTCTGGCTCGCGTGTGTCGTCGACATCATTTCCATGGGTGTCGAGGATGAAGGAAAAGAAGGTGTCACAATTTCCGTCGACGAATGAATTCCGCGATGTCATAGGGGGAGAAAAAGCGAACAGGAGACATTTCCGGCCTGGAACGATCATACAGTATACTGTACCAAGCGCCGTCGAATCCAAGATTGTTCAGCCCTTAAATGAAACGTTCGGAAAAATTATTCCAAATTGCAGTACTGTATTTCAGAATGTGTTACACAGGGAGGCATGAAAGTTCTTTATTTGTAAATAATGTGATGTAAATCCATATATTTTAAGATTCAATACTTTTCAGCCCCTCGAACTGTGAAAACAAATTGTTATTTTGAATACATTGCTGTTTAAGATTATCACTACTTTTGCAAAGAACAGGAAACACCTTCATGCGGGGTTGACGAATACGTGTAGTAATTAATTTTTAAAATGACGGTATTTTTTCCTCCCAAAACAATAAAATAACTGAGAAGATAAGGTCACTTTCACTGGGAAACAATTAATTAACCTTGCGAGCATTTCCATGAAACCCATGTTAATTGGGAAAAAATACTGGTTTTTGAATCAAAAGAAAGGTTTCGAAGGCCACCTTGAGTATGCATTTTGAATTGCCGGCTTCCTGTGTCTATTGCAGATTTTTTTCATTCTGAGTTTTACAAAGAAGTTATGTGAAGGAAGAAGGTGCAGATGGTATTTATGATCCTTCAATGATGCTCAGGTGGCCAAGGAATTAAAATTTTTTTTTATGGGACGTATCACTGCGAAGAAGCTACTTCAGCAGTACTTTTGAAAAGCAAGTCGAAGTCCCGAAAACGAATTGTCGAATTGAGAATACCGTACAATTATTCCTGTCGGGAAAGAAAACGCGTTTTTGAGCGTCCATCCGTTTCGAGATGGTCATCAGAGTAGTTGCTCAGTTTTGAACCGACCCGTGAAGTATAATATTTTCCCCTGCAAATTTTTCAAGATGCTGTCGATTCTCCGACATCTTATTTCTTCTGTGTATGTGTCAAAAAGCCCAGAACATGGTCGTATGGAATGATCTTTGGGTAATCCTCAGCTCGACGAATGACGGGAACGAATACCCGTGGTCGTCCCTCATTTGCCTCCCTGAGCTACGTAGCCGAGAAACGACTCATCTGTGGCAGGGAGCATGATTGATGCGTCGATGTTGGGGCTGCCTGTTCGACTGGCTTTCTTGGGGAGCGTTTTTCCTTGACTTCGTAATTCTTTTTTTTTGTTTTCTTTCCTGGCTTCGAGAAGTTTGGGTCTGGAAATGGTTGGGCATTCGTTGAAGGAAATGAGACGCGCGGTGTGAGTCAGTCATGCGTCGGAAAGGGGGACGAAACGCATCCGGAGGAGATGCGTACGTTAGTCTCGAAAGTAAACTTTTTCTGCTGACAAATATTGCCAGTCGAAGTCCCGAAGAAGAGAAGCGTTTTCACATTTTTTCTACATTACAGTACTCTGTCTACTTCGGAATGTCTTTGGTAATCGATATAACCGTTTTCATAGGCATTATCTTAATTTTTCACAGTACATTACAGTAATTTAAACAAGTTGTGGAAGTTCTATCCCGCCGAACTTCGGGATTTTTCTCGGGGGAAGCCTGCGGCAGCAGCAAAACTATGAAGAATCAATTTTCTATGAAGAATCTTCTTTGATGTTTTTCGTAATGTCTCATAACATGGGACGGGGAGATGTGATACCCTGATAATTAAAGCGCAGTACAGTACAGTCGAACCTCTTCAAGTCAAACTTCAAGGGACCAGAAAAAATTCGAGTGAAGGAAACATTTTTTTGTGAGAGAGAATTGCAGGTAATTATAATGGGTAATTTCTAGACCTTAAATTGCTTCTAAAATGATTTGACTGGATGCTGAACCGAGGCAAGGGTTCCAATTATTCTTTTACTTTGTTTTTCAAAAGAAATCAAATCACGTCTTATTACGTTTCTCTTTCCTTCGTAAATAAAATAATAACCTAAAGACCTCCAGAAAATTTCGAGTTGACGGAAGTTTTCGTGGATAATTCTCATGTACAGTACAGATATGCTCGAGGAAAGTAGCGATCGATCAATAGTTCTTCGAATAAATGTTGCATCCTGCTGACCATTCCGAAAGTTTCATAAAATTTATGATGCCATTTTCAATTATTAGAAGAAATGTTTAATTTCTTATTATGGTATATCGTAGTTTGGGATCTCCAATCTCTGATGATAAACGCAAGGATGCTTTTAAACTTGATGAACTGTCAAAGTTTCTCGGGAAATCGTTGCTGGAAAAGACGCGCGTCTTAAATTCGGAAGCTCTTTTTTTTGTTGAAAAACCTTATGCCTTTTTTGTGCTAATACTGCCGTGCGGAGCTTCTGTAAATCTGCCCTTGGCAACAACCAGCATCGCTTCAATTTTTCATGTTTGTGATTTTTGAAAGAATGACTAAGTTGCGGGAAAAGATAACAAAAGTGTTCGTTTGTTCAACCCGCGGCTGTTGACAGGCGGCCAAAGGCTTTTTCTTTCGCTCGTCGCAATCGGATTTTCTAAAAAGAAAAAAGACCAAAAAGCAGCTCTTGGGGAAGCTTGTCGATTTCACGGCTCGGGAAAAGTGCGATAGCGCGGGATGTTGGCTGTCGGAACCACCAAAACAAATATTTACTCAGTATAGGTGTTGTTCTCCTTTTCGTTTTCCCGGATAGGATTTTCCTCTTTTCACTCAACGTAGTTCGTTCAGATTCGTGCCATTTCCTGGAATATAGAAAGATATCCAGAGGAGTGCTGGATGCCTCGACGAAAGGTTTCTGCAGAAATATTTTTTTTTTGCATTTTCATTCGTATAAAAAAAAAAGAAAGAAGGAAATACTGTATCTTTCGAGTGTCATCGATCGCAACACTGTCAGCCATCATCCTTCGCTTGGAGGTTGAATTTTGAATGCTTACTGGGAATTTCTCCTGGCAATGATAAACAGGAATAAGTTCTTGATTTTGATTTAATGCCATGTTTTTTCGCTTCTGGTGAAAACAATAATTAAGCCGATATTAATGTAAATGTGAGGCCAGGTTTTTTCATTTTTAAATTTTTCGATGAGGTTCAGAATCGATGACTTTTCAGTTGTGAGATGCCAACTTACGCGTGGGCTGAAGTTCGATGAGTTCCCTTCGAGTTGTTGAGTTTTTTCAATTTACTAAGCGTGCAAGATTTGCTTGAACGTTTTCAAGGAATATTCGTAAATACATTGCACTATATGATGCCATATACTCAGAAATCAACGACGCTCATTGATCTCCAGTTATGAGAAATCTCGAATAGTTTGATGGCGAATCTAAAGACGCACTTGTAAACGCTTAGGTTCGCCATAAGACTGAAAAGCAAGGTACGTCCTGTAAATTGGACTCAATGGTATCATATATCTGCTTACACGCTATAATTTTCTCGGATCTGAAGTTTTTTTTTCATGTTGAAGAGAAGGGGTTATGCGGGTTGTGAACGGGAAATTTGTAGTATCCCGGCTGTTTGATTTGCTGATCGTAATCTTGAGACTGTTCGAAGCGTGGCACGCATCTCCGAACTGCGGGCGTTGTTTATGGACGCGTTCGGATCAGTTTCTGGGGCGAAGATGAATGTCGCAGTGGGCTTTGATGGGCAAAACGACGTGATCGATACGAACTCCGTGAAATATGGATCCGTTAAATGATGGATGGGACGCCCCGGGTCGCAAAGTCTTCTGGGTTGCCCTGCATGATTTATCAAGCCACCGTGTTGCCCGATTCCGGGTCGTTATTAGCTTTCCTACCTTCTTTTCGGGTTCCTTCGTTGAAAAAAAATATTAATATCATGGACTTTCATCCAACCTGACTTGGGGTGGTGGTTGCCTATGTCTTCAAGTACGACATTTCTTTTAAAAACGTGGACTTGAATTTTTCTCATAGTTTTTCAATCGGAATTTTTATGCAATTGCGTAATCCATGAGAAATCAGCCTTTTTCAATTTGGAGTCTTTTTTTTATGCCTGCTGATGATTTCGAAGCACAGTTACTAGAAGCTTTTTTTTTATGCCTGCTGATGATTTCGAAGCACAGTTACTAGAAGAGGAGGAACTTATAATTCGAAAGCGGAGGTATTGTTTTGGAACAATTTTCTATAGTCTTGCCTTTATTCATTTTATAAATTAGCAACTGTTCCCTACAATTCCAGATCCGAAAGAAAGTTGGTTACGGTATTTTTTTTATATTCCAGCTGAAAAAAATATGGAAGTATTACCGTATTTATGCAAAAATAATCACCCAAATAGATATTCCGTGCACAAAATTAATGAAAATTGGATTAATATACGGATATGAGCATCCATGTACTTTCCTGGTGTTCGGACTCTCAGGAACCTCAAGTATCTAGCTAAATTAGGGATTTACCCAGAAAAAGAAAAACGTGTGTTTCACGCACTTCGCTTTTCACCCTCAGACGATGTCCCGTGAATCATGAGGTGCGCGAAGTAGACCATTTTTTGATTTTTATCTTCAATTGAAAAATAACTTGAGAGAAGTGTTGGATCGTTTCGTAGACCGCCAATAGGGCGATTTCACTGTGTAGATGTATATTTATGCGAATAGCATGATTACGCGCACCACTTTTTTCCAATTTTAGAAGTTGAAGAACCGCGTAAAAACCGTACTTGAAGTTGTCTTGAACGCGTTTATTTCCTTTTTTGCAGGGATTTGAGCGAGAACCAGGTGGTGAATGTGGACAAGGGAACGTTCCGGAATTTGACGCGGCTCACCGAGCTGAATTTGGCGCGGAACTCCCTGCGCAGCCTCGGCAAGAATTTCTTCATCAACGCTTCCAGACACCTGCAGCGTTTGTGAGTAATCCCATTTCTCTGAGTACGACCCCATCAAGGCGTGTCTGCTTCAGCTATCAATTTTTTGCTCTTCCAATAAAAACCGTACCCTACCTGCATTAGGAAAAAGAAAAGAAGGCAGCCCGGAAACTTTTTCAGTGAAGTTATTACTGTAGTTGGTTTTTCTTTTATCGCGTTATCCGGTGGTAAAATATTAAGAATGCATTCATGACGTCGCGAATTCTCATTGCATGATGATCGATTTATTGCGAGCACTCTTTCCTCTGCTTGACGTCTGATGTAATTTTCTCTGGAAATATCGGGGTACTTATAATTTACAAGGGGCAGAAAACTTGACCCATCATTCCTGCCCGAACTTGTTCCTGCGATTTATTCAGCGATTTTAGTGGTTTTCATATTTCAGTTTTCACCTCCTGTACGTTCTGAGAGACAAGTAGATTTGCGTTAACGTGAAGTAACTCAAGTCGTCCGAAGCGTTTATCTTCGGAAGAGAAGTTCCCACGGTATGAACCTGTTCTTTTGTTTTGAATGTGGTTCGTGACGAACACACAGTCTTCCCGAATGTGCTGGAGAAGTAGGATTAGAATTGCTCATTTTTTATATTTTTTTTGCTCTTTCCGGACGAATTTGGGATAATGAAGTTGGGAAAAACAGGGGATGAAGATAATCCGAAAAGATATCGTTGAACGAACCGCTTTGTGAAGGTCACGTTTGAGGGAAATTATTACTTTCGTAAGTGATTTTAACCCTCGATTCAGTTGAGCTGGAATGAACTGTAATTTTGATGAAACGAAGTAGACGCAATTCCCGAGGGCCAACCTTTTCTTTGAAAATTTCTCTCCGATCCGTGGTTTTCATATTCCGTATTTTTCATTCGAGTCTGGGATTTTTGTTGCCCTTTACGATTTGAAGAACATCAAAAATATGATTATACTCATGCTATTTTATCATATTCAGAAGAAGGAATGTTTTTGTTGGCCCAATTGAACGGATTTCCTTCGTTCTACATTTACTTTCCTTTATATTCAGTGTTCTCTGGATGATGGCGTTAATATTACTGGTTACTTTGATAAGGATGTCTGAAGTTCTGCGGAAATAAGTCTTCGTTACGCGTGTATTCGCCTCTTCTTGTCCCTCGCGATGATCGCGATAGGAAACTTACACAATAAGAAACAACTAGGGAAGCGCGATCAATGTTTGCTGCTGGATGCAGTTTCTGACTTTGTAGCGGAAGCCGTGTACTGTTTCTTTGCTGCCTGCAAAGCCTTGAGCTCAGCAGTGAGCTCAGCCTTCTTATTGTCGAGCTCTTGGCTCCGTTGTACCAAATCCTCCAGCTCTCTCTCGTTCCGCAACTTTTCCTCATTATATTCTGCCTTGAGTTTTTGCAAAGTGTCACGACCCGCTGAACACTTGCGTTCCAGCTCCCGAACCTGTCGGGTGAGAAAGACGGAGGATTTTTGTTCGGGGGTGCGTGAACGAAATACATGCTGTAACGGAATGTAACATGGTTTGTGTTGGACAAAACAGGGCCTCGAGGGAACTATGGAAACCAGAATTACGAATCACCACGGGATTGCTTGTTAGTCGGAAGGAAATTCTGCCACTAGTTGATATAGAATTGTTCCAGGTTTCTTTTCTGATCATATTTTGAACCAGGGGAAGGGAGGAATAAAAAGTGCCCAAGCAAGCAAAAAAAAATCTTTGATAAAGCGCCGAGCCAGAAAAGTACGGTTCCTGAAAAACTAACCCAGGGAAAAAACGGCTCAATAAAAGCCTAAAAAAAGCGCGAAAAGCAGCTCAAAATCCAATAAGAGCATGAACCTTAATTACTGTGGTTGCCGAAATAACTGGAACCTCTTTTAATCGAACACCTTTTATTTCCCTTTTTGAATTCCTGCGGAAATGCATTAAAAACCTCTTCACTCAAAGGCTTTCCCACTCAAACCTCCTTAATTCAAGTTTTCTGTAGGGCTTCTGGCTATCATTTTATTGACGCAGGAAAGAGAAAGGCATTAGAAATGTAACTTGATGTTTATTTAAGGGAAGTGAAAAACTAAATGGGGAAAATAATTCCTCGCCTCAGCGTCCTGTCAAACTCGATTCAATCTGAAAATCAAGAATACTGTATCACAAATACAATTTACTGTAATTATAACTATTCAACATTAATTTTGTTGTATTTTTAAACGTATGCGAAGTATCGCAGTCAATATCAGCCATCATACAATTATTAAATATCTGCTGTATTTCATGAAAATCCATGAAATACGGACCTTGATGGATGAACGTTTGTTGATTTTAAATCACCTCCGCCAAAAGTGGCCACGTGGCTAGAATGCTGCACACGTGTAAGTTGCCGCGGGTCTTCCTAGCCGCGTCCAGTGGGGTTTGTCCGAAGAAATCCCTGGCCCCCTTTTCACACCCTTCTGCAAACAGAAGTTGGGTCAAAGTGCCGACCTGGCCCCCGACAGCGGCTGCATGCAATGGGGTCATGCCGAAATCATTCCTCTTGTTCACATCAGCACCTCGCTGACATTTGGGAATTCGAAACGAATGAGCTCAAAATGCAAGTGGAAATTTACCCGAATAAATATTATCGGGGTAAATCGAAACAAATAGAAGCAAGTATCAAAAGTACAGTATTGAAATGGAAACTTACGTTATAATAGTCGTGGAAAGTTTCAAGAGCAACACATGCCCCGAAAATTGTATCCCCGTGATCATCCTTCAAATTGTTAATTTATCTTTGTAGGCTATCGAGATGTCGTCAAATTCAAGCCAAATTCATTAGCTTTCATAAATTATTCTTATATCTCATTATTTTTCTGAATGCCGTATGAAATTCAAGTCGGTCTGAGCTCTGAGGTTCGCGAAGTGGCTCAAATTGAAACAGTGTACAGTACGCTGATCAATTTTGAAAATATGAACGATAATATTCATGTGTGTACGGTATCATGTTATACATAGCAATGATCTGATAAAAGTCAATGCTATTGACTTTGCTTGATAAAACCCCCCAACCTTCAGTAATTCCGAAACCATGTTTGTTGCCCCGAACCTTGCAGCCCAATGCAAAGCGGTTTCGCCGTTCACGTCCTCATCGTCTATTGGATACCGTGGTCTCTCAGTGAAAACCCTCGCAAATTGTGCAGGGTCGCTGGTTTTCACTGCCAAAATCAGAGCCATTTGTCCTTCACTTCATCGTAATTCTTGAAGAAATATTCGGCTGATAACGTTTCTAAAGTCACGAGGTTAATTTTGACCGTGGCAAAGTGGTTAACGAAATCAACGATGCACTTAGAAGTTCATAAAGGTTTTCACCATCAGTGAAGGTTTGTACGAACAAAATATATTTCGTTAATTAAACTCAATTAGATCATTGGCGCATGATTTCATGGCCAATATCCGAGATTATCTTGGGTTATTCTCAGCTTTTCCAGCATTCCATCCAGTTAGGGAAGTTGAAAGTTCGGAGAAGCTGAAATAATATTTCTGCAATGATGATTGGCCACCATAAGTTTTACCTGAAGAAACTTCCTTCATGAAATGTAGCAATGGGAAATCTTGCCCGTGTTCGCCAAATAATTGCATCAAGGAAGTATTTATGAGGAACTTAAAAAGCTATTTTCTGTTTTCGATGACTTCATGCGTTTGGAAGGGGTCAGGAGAAAGTGACGGCGTGGAAGAAATGTCGACGAAATAAATGGTGTAGGAGCCGTTTTTAGAGCCAATAAAATCTCAATGCAATATCTCGCAATAGCCCCCGGGTATCCAGGAGATACTTTGCTTGCATATCGGCTTTTATTTGCGTGTTAACCCTCTGAAATTGATACACACAACGAAAAGCACGATTTACAGTAGTGGGGAGAGAGCATCAGAAGTCAAAAAATAAAACCACAGATTTTCATCCTTGTGTTAAGCTGAAATTGTCCTCACTTGTTTCATCAGTCTGTGTCTCTTCGGCATTTTATTTTCACGCCTTTTGGAAGCCATTGCAGTCAAATTTCAAGGTACCAACAAAAAAAATATTGACTTGGGAAGGTTTCGAGTTAGGGAAAGAAGGATTTTTTAGTGGAAATATTTAAGAATTGCAGGAAATCGTAAATTGTGATATTCTGGACCGTAAATTGCTTCTTGAATGAGTTGAAAGTAAGCTGAGCTTGGAGTCGGGGGTTCATTTGCACAATTTAGTCTTTCGCTTCCTTTCAAAACGCATGAAATTCCGTTTCAACTTTTCTCTTCCCTGTTTCAAGAAAGTAATAGCCAGAAGGTCTCGGAAAATTCGACTTGAGCAGGTTTGAGAGGAAGAGCCTTAAAGTTCGATAAGTTTTCAATGCATTGTTTCTAAGGGAATCCAGAGGGGGCTTTAAAAAAAATTTGACTTGGTGAGGTTCGAGTCATCAAGCTTTACTTGTAGTATGACTGCTGTACTGAATTCGTGGAAGAATTACGAGTTAGATCGTCCTTTACTCGTCGAAAGGGTGAAAATTACGTCCTGAAAGTGTTCGTGAGATTTTCCAACCAGCGCGGATTAGTTGTGCTGTACCACGAGCCGAAGCCGTGTGAGAGGGAGATGTTGGGAATTCTCGCCCCCATTGTGTGCTCTGAAAGAGAAACCTGGTATATCTCTCTCCCTCACACCAGCACCTTTTCTTCCTTCCCCTCCCCCATTAGTACGAAGAATTTTGCACACCATGGGGGGAAAGAAAGAAGAAAAAAAGAGAGCGAGAGAGAGAAGAGGGGAGATCAATTCTTGCTGAGCGGGATTCTGCGAAGGTTGCGTTTCTCTTGGTGACGTTGGGGGGGCTTTTTGCCAAGAATCGGCGTGCTTTGTTCAGCGTCCCTGAGCTAGAGCCCCGGTGATTGAAGCGAAGGCGAGGTTTGGGTCTGAGAGCTGTCAGTTAATTATTGAACACCTTCTGTTGGCCTTTTTTTTTTTTTTTTTAACAGCCTGTTTCCATCGACGCGGAAAAAGGTGAATTGTCTTCCGGGGCTGTTTCATTTCGTGGCTCTCGGTGCTGCTGCTTTCTGGAGTTGCCACCATTTTCAAGGCTACCGTTGGTGTTGCTCCTCTTCTTCAGTTGTCGAGGGAATTGAATTGTCTTGAAAATTTGCGCAGGAAGCCTCCTCCATTATTTTTACAAATTATCACCCGTAATTTACCATGGCCGCATAATGCTTAATATAGCATAAAATCTCAATCGGCATGACGGTTTTTCTGCAATACATTAATTTCACGCTACTTTTGGTTTCATTTTAATATACTACGCATTAATTCTGAGCATTTGGACAAATGGCACGAGCATTTGGACAAATGGCACGAGCATTTGGACAAATGGCACGAGCATTTGTACAAATGGCACGAGCATTTGGACAAATGGCACGAGCATTTGCACAAACTTTGGCCGCGCGCTTGGCACCAGGATTTATTTCAGGAGAAGATGCCTCGTTGACGCTTTAGAGTTTATTTAATTACTCCGTGAAAATTCGGTCAGACGTTGAAAGCGACAGTTGATAAAAATTCATCATTTCATCGTTCTTGGGGGATCGGAAGTCGATTACCACTGTTTTATACGAGAGGTTGTCTTGAGATACGTCGTTCTCTAAATCTTTGGAACAGTTGATCAATTTCCATCATCACCTGATTCTTTATAGGTTTGCTCATCAAGTTTTGAGCTGCTACTTTTTAAAATTCAAATGTCAAACGGATTTCATGTTAAATTTTTTTTTAGTTTAAAAGGAACTCAAGTGCTCTTTTGGGTTAGTCTCTTCGCAGTGAACTGGGGAAATTGGACCCCATGTTTTGAGTATCGCAACATCACGACAATTATGAACACTACTTGGACGCAGCATTTCAAGCTGAAATACCTAGTTTCAAATTTCCTAATTTTTAAATTTTGATCAAGAAAGCCAATTATTTTTTACGAACAAGAACTTTTTCTCCGGCGAAAGTTGAGAGTTGGTCTAAAACAAATTCTTGTATATTTGAAAAGTGCATCTTCTTTGAGAAATGGAGTAATCCTTCCCCACGGATATCCTTAGATTTCTCAGGAGAAACTACAGCTACTCCGAAAAATGTGTCTCCTGGGAAAGAAACGAAAAATTCCCTCAAGTTTTGCTTGTTTCCTGAATGTTCTCAGCATTATGTGGGAGATGGCAACCTTGGATGCTCTCCTCGCGTTTTGTCGGAACTATACTGTGGAATTGCTTTTGTTGTTCGTGGACTTGCTGTCTCCCTCTCTCTCTCTACCTTTCTCGGATGGTCTCTCTTCCGTGGGTTGCAAAGATGAATGCTCCAAACCCGGCAGGGGTTGCGCAAAGGGCCAGGGAAAAACCGGCTTCGAAAACCTATTGTGCACCACCAGGGAAGAGGGGTCGAGTGGGAGGAGAAATTCGAGGAGTTCGTTTGAGTTTCCCGTGCGGGGGACCGGGTCCGGCGTGAAGATTCTAACGTGGCTGGCAAAATACTCGAGAAACGCAAAGCCATAAGGGACCCGAAGTTCGATTTTTACAGGGTCGGCTTGTACGCGTGAAAATCGTCTACCCTTGGGTTGAAAATCCCAAGACGAGGTACCTCTTTTTTTTATATTATGTGAGTCCCTTGGGAAACGTACCTGCGCACTTTTCGCTAGGAATGTAAGAAGCCAACGATTCCCTGCACACATTTAATATTTTTTCCTGCATCTTGAATGAAAAAAAAAAAACGAAACAATTTGGCTAGGGAGTATGAAGCGCATTTTCATTGTCCTATTTATTGAGGAAAAGTGTGTCAGTTGATTCTACCGATGCTTCAGCTCAGTTTTAAAGATTTTCATCTGATCGCATGACATCTCGCTAGGCAGTGGAGATTTTTCAAAAATTCAATTATTATTAAATATTGCATTGATCAGAAGCAAAATGCATTTCAATTCCTTACTTGAGACGCCGTCAAAGTAGAAAAACAGCTCCAATTTCTTCCAGCTAATTTTGCCTTCAAAAAAGGGGCGTCAAATTCAAGTTTAAAAAGTATTGTACGGTACTGTATACCATGCGTTGAGCCAAGCTGCGTGCACCTATTTTGTTGCTGCACGTAAGTAGGAATTCGTTTGTAAATTCCAGTCGGATGTTGTTGCATCGCTTTTGACGACGAACGCAGTTGAGCGTGGTGGAAAGGATAGAATTTCAGGTGCTCTTTTTTTTTTTTTCAACAGACCGAGCTGTATGTGTGACATGAGAAAATCATGCGGTGCGTGAAATTTGTTGCGTTCGAGGAAGAGCAGAACATTTCTGAAATGTTCAATTCTTTTCAATTGAAAATGTTTTCAACAGCTTGGACGCGTCCCCACAAATACTGTATATTTAACAATGTGGCGAGTACTTTTTTCTGGTATTGTACAGTACTTCTTTCCATGCACATATGTAATCCGCCTCATGTCTTCAGTTGAGCGAATGATTATTTGTTTTTCCCCTCAGCATCTTTGTTGAACGAGTCCACTGTAGCGGTACCGTACATTTGTTGTCACAGGATTCCCACTATACGTGATCTTGCATCCAAATTTGCGTTTGGGGCCTAAATTACAGTTTTATTAAGACTACCCTGTAAATGCAAAGCGTGAAGAGGAAAAATAGTAGTATGCTAGTGGGGAAGAGGGGGTCCCAAGGTGCCTCAGTTTTCTTCCTCGCAGCGGGGATTTTAATGGCGGAATGAAATTTACGACCACTGCTCGGTCAGCTTGTGTTAATCTTGAATCGCACGGGTGTATACGTATATAATATATATTTATAATATACAGTATCCCTCTTTCCTGTTCTCTCCCTCGCGCCGACCAGGTGCTTTTCTTTGCACGTGCAGCTTCTCGAAATTTAAATTTCCCCTGCGTCCCTTTTTCCCTCCAGGTTCGCAGGTGGAGGGAGAACTTTTTTGATTTAGTAATTTTCGACCTTACTCAGCCGTGAAAGGGTACTTTTCTTCCATCAAGTTTGCTGCGCGATTCGATGTGCTTCTAGTCGACTGCGAGGGAAGTTCATTATTCAAATGAATACCCAGCTTTGGGCTGATTATATCCTTAAATTCTTGCCGAGTGTTGATGCGATAATTTTAATATTAATAATAATAATAATTGGGAATCATCACAACAGTAAGTAAGGTCTATTTTTAACAATCTCAATTCTTCTGCGGTCTTCCCAGAAAATCGTCTCGATTTTACAAAATTTCTTCCACGAATAAGTATATTTCCAAGAATTTCACGAGAAATTTGTGAGATAGCTTGGCTGTCGATTTAATAAAAGATGTTGGTTCTATTGTTTGTGGCCGATATTGAGAAGTGTGTTTTATAAATGCTACGTTTTTATTAAATGTTATATAATAATTTAGTATGAAACAAGTTCGATAAATAAGCGGTTTTGACTCCATAATGTTACTGTTCCTCGACCTCTGCGATTAATCAATGCATTCATTGAATAAGTGGAATTGCTTCCACGTATTTTCACATCGATTTCTCTGTCATTTTCCATTAGTGATGAATTTAATTTGTCATTGAATTTGGCTTATTGCATGAGGTTAGTTATTGTTCTGCTAAAAAGTTTGGTTATGCCGTGCAGGCAAAATATTCGAAAACGGTACTTGGGCATTGAGTCAGGTACAGTACTCGATAGATTTCGTTAATTGTAGTTGACGCACAATATATTATATTTCAAATGTTTCAGTTCATTGTGGTCTACTTATCAATTACTGTAATGGTTCATTCATATATTGTACTTTTATCACCGGAATGCTTCGAAGGCAGGTGAGTTACAAGTGTCAGTACTTTATTCTCCCGTCGATTACGTGCTGTAAAAGTACCAATTTTGTCCTTGACTCCCTGCGCGTTGCTTGACGCTATGAAGGTCTGCGTTCGGGTTGTTACGACCTGTTCTTTCTTCTACTGGATGCACCTGCGTGGCGGAAATACGCTTCATACGAAGTGCTTCAGCTGCTGAGCAACGTTAATAATGAAACGAGAGAAAGAAAATCGCATTACTGTGGTTTTTCCGCGAACTGTGGAGGAAGGAATGAAAGAAGCAGATGCTCTGTGCATTCTATTATTTTTTGGCGTTCGTGGAATGCACGTACGGTATTCATTTTTGTTTTACACGTTCGGCAGCTCCTTGAGAATTCCTTTGTCGATGAGCGAACATTGGAGTCTTAGCACGATGTTTTCAACTGCCTTTGATTTCCCTGAGAACAGCATCACTTTTCCTTCCGTTTCTTGCAATCGAAACCTCTTTAAGTCGAATTTCTAGAGGCTATAAAAATTCAGTTACGGAAATAAAAGCATTAGTGTGGGGGGGGGGGGGGGGGGGGAAAAAAAAAAAAAAAAAAACAAGAAGGTATAGGGGCGCGGGAGAACCCNGGGCGGGGGCAGAAGAATTACAGGTAATTGTAATTGGTGGAACTCTAGGGCTAGGCGTTAATCTGCTTCTTGAATGAGTTGACAGCATGCTGAATTTGGAGACGAGGGTTTATTTACCCGAATAGTCTTTCATTTACTTGAGAAAAAAAACATGAAAATTACATTTTTATTTCTTTTATCATTCTTGTGTATGTGAAAGAATAGTGAAAAGGTCTCCAGAAAATTCGAGTTTCGCAGGTTTGACAAGGAAAGTCTTCAAGTTAGGGAAGTGTTCAATGTTTTTTTTCCTAAGAAAATCCAGACAAGGACTAGAAAAAATAATTTCGACACTAGGTACTGTAATCGACTTGGGGAGATTTCTGTTATCGAGGTACAATAAAAATGTATTCTGAGTCATGACATGATGATCGTGAAAGGGACACAATTTTATGACCATAAAAGGTTTCGCACTTCCGAGTCGATTGACCGTGAGGATACAGTTCAGTAGTTATGTTTCTTATTGCATGATATCGAACGGGACACAGAAGATTGCATTTAAAAATGAAAACCAATTGCGCTTTCATCTATACAGTACTTTGATGGCGATCATTCGGGAATTGGAGACTCGTGATGATTATTACGCAGATGAAACTTCATCACTTCTTTTGCTGGCTCAATGCTGTCGAACTTTATCTTCGTTTTGTGGTGTTGATTTTCTCACCTTCATCTTTACAACAGCTTGGAAAGAAGAGGAAACTGTTCATGTCGAAAGCTACACATGTATCTCACCTCAATCCCTACGTGGTTTTAGAAACCTTTGGTCGGAGGTTTATTGTCATAATACTGTATTTTTAATCTGATGAGAATTATTGCGGTTGTTCGTGCCAAATCGATTTTCACCAGTTTGGCCTTTTTCAGCTCTTTCGGATGCGTCTCTTTAGGAACGATGCAGTTTCCTCGGATAATTTCTGAATTTAAATTTTCTAATCATAGCGATGGAATGTTCCCCCGCAAGAATTTGATCACTATCAAATCCTCGGATTGCTTGCCAAGAATCCCCTCATGTTGTTGAAAAAGCGGAAGTATTTTGCTGCGCATCATCAAATCCAGCTTAGAAGAACTTTTTTTTTTGTAATTGTGCAAGATTAACCACATCTTCGAATACATGTATTGGCGTTGATTTCGCATGCGTGAGGGTTCTTATGAAGCACATCCACCTCTAATTCAGCAATTTTCAAGAAAATTAGAGCCAGAAGTTCAGGGCGAGAAACTTGCCTTCTTATTTCCAGGTATTCGTTTTTCGGGAAGTATCGTTTCTGAAACAGATCCCCATTTTTCATCATAATCAAATCATTGTGTATGTGGTGATTTTTGAAGCTAGCGGATGCGGCGAAAATGAGCTGAAGGTGGCGAAGTGGCTATTTTCATTCCTGATTTGGTTTTTTGCTTGAGTTGTCACCCAAAACGCAGTTTTTCTTCGATTTTGAGTGGGATAAACAAGAAGAAGAAAAAAACGGGAAGATTAATTACATGTGTGTGGGAAGAACACGGGGAAATGGATTACGAGAGAAAAGGAAAAGAAAGAGAGAGATAGAGATGAGCCAAGAGGAATCCGGCATCTGGAAATTTAGTCAAGGGAGAAAGATGAACGCGTGTCGTATACACCGATGGTTTTTTTTTTTTTAATTATAAACACGGCTCCTCTTCATCGCCGAGGTCAGCTTCGACGATTTGGAGACACTCTTCCATCATGTAGTTCTGGGTGATGACACTGGCGCCGAAAACGAGCATCATGACGAGCGTAATGATGTAGCCGGCCATGAGCACGTGTTGCGTTTTGCCTTCCGTCGGGCTCAGCTCCTCTTCAAAAAAGGGCACGGTGTCGGGAAGCCCTTCCGCTGGGCTGGGTTGCACCCAGGCCCGGGCCTGGCCTGGGATCTCCTTGAGCACGCTGCCTCGTTTTCCGGTCCGCGACGTGGGGTAAAACTCGAAGTTCACCACCAGTGGGGCTTGAATATACATGGAGGGAAAAAATCCGAATAATCCGAGTTCGACTTTAAATTGAAATTCTGAATGATCATTGGTTAATTGTAATTCAATGATGGGGAACTAGGGAGAATGATTCGGGGTTAACCAAAATATTTTGGACTAATTTTGAAAGACAATTATGGGGGAAAACAATGATATGAATATTTAGATCTAGAATAACTTTTTCAACAGCTGGGCTTCATTATTTTTACATATCACGTCGTAGTTACTGTGGTCAGTTGAAGAAGGAAAAAAAAAAACCTTTGAAAAATTGGCGAAGGAACATTCCAACTGCTATTTTGGAATCAAGTAACTCGGAAAATTTACTAGAGTAGGAATTTCCAGAGGCATCAACTTATTCTGGTTGTTATGGCCACACGAAAAAACATTCAACGCATTTAGAATTGAAAATTTTTCCTGACTTTGTATTGCGAACAAGTCAACCTGCAAATCTGGGACAGATTTTTCTTGGCGTTTATTCGGTAGAGTTAATTTTTGCTGAGTTCAAGATTTCAATAGTGCTTTAATCTTCGTCTGCGGGAATGTCAGAAATTATCAGGTCATGAAGAAATATTTTACTGGTAAGTATAATTTATTTACAGGTACATGTACTGAAAGTAAAGGGAGTTCGGTCATTAAAATTATAATTTAGTCGGGTTTATCATGTCGATTACATTTGAATGAAGTTCAGAGAAGATATTCAACTTCTATCTTTTGGAACGGAACTTTTGTGCAGTACATTACAGTACGGTATAATAAGCTCACTGTACCATTTGGATTCATTTTCCCGGGCTTGGCGACTCGGGGCTGCATCATTGCTCGGGGTTTGCACGGTGGGCAGCCCTGAGGTGGTACACACGGATCTATGTCCCTGAATCACAAAGCAGAGGAGAACTTATAAGGAATATGTTCGCCCCTCTTGCCTTCCCCCTCCCCTTCTCTTTTTTTTTTCGTCACGCGTAGGTAGGGGCTTTTGCATTATTCAGGAATCCCTTGGACTGCTGTCTGTTTAAGTTACGGGCTTCGTTCCTGGTCAAATATTTCAGAGGAAATCATAAGTCGTTCCGCCGCGCGGCCACATATTGTAATATTCTCCTCGGCGTGTTGAATCAATGTGGGGACTGTGAAGTCTTATGAGCGAAGCCGTAACCTTTTTAATTTTCTGGAGAGGTTGGTTTTTTTTTTTTTTCCATAGTTATGCGGCATCATTGAACATTTTCTGACCAATGAAAATAGAACCAAAATGAAAAATGAAATTGCTTGAATTTAAGACATGTCCCGAACGGAACCCCGAGTATTGTGCTGTTTGATGCGATTGTCACAGATTTTAATATACAGTTCTGTACCTTGCGAGCTCCTCATGCACAAAATGTTTTAAAGCTTGGAATTACGGTATTGCAGCTTCTTTTGAACGGGGTTAGTCGAGTCTGAGCTCAATCTTGCATCAATTATCTTTTGGTTCATGTTTTTTTCTGTTGCAACGCACTCAAAAAGTGGTAGAGGGTGAAGAGTTCAACCGCTCTCATATTCTTCTTGAGACACCCTCGACTTGATCTACTCTTTCAAATTTTGAATTGCGCAAAATGAAGAAAGCTTTCTGAAGGACTTAGAAGTAAGGGAAAACCCGTTTCTGCTACCGATTACAGGTATAGGTCAAAACTTCATGGATAAATCCGATCAAGGGATTTACGTTAATACCCTCGTATCTTGCGTGGCTGACTTCCGGTAACAAAAAAAGTAGTACAGTTTGAGGGGGAGTCTCACTTTCTTTCTCTATTCACACAGAAGGGGGCTCAACAATGGAAGGGATTTCAACTTGATCTGTTCTTTCAATTTTTTAAATCGCACAAAATTGAAGAAGTTTTCTGAAATATTTCGAAAAATACAATAGTTTCCTTCCGTCTCCGATTAAAAGTTTAGTTCCAAACTTTATGGGGAAATCCGAGGGCATTTCCTGAATACCCTTGTATCTTCCATGGCTAACTTCCGTTAAAAAAAAAGAGGCATGAAGAGTGTCTTGCTCTCATTTTCTATTCGTGCACAAGGGGACTTGATCTTGGTAATTTTTTCATGATCTGCAAATACCGTATTCACGCTTCTAGTATAGACCGCATTTTTTTTATGAAAAGAAACAAGCTTGAAAAGATTCAGATGTGGCCAATACTCAAGAATCAAGATCATGTGTTATCTATGAATAATTCGCTTCTTCATTATTCCCCACCATGAGCGGTTAATCGATGGGTCCCTGAGAATTCCTCTCCATACGCAATTTTATAATTTCTTTCATTCGGGGGATTCCTGTGTTTCCTTGGCCTGTGAGCTTCATGTTCCCGAAGGGGTCTCTAAATTAAACTGCCTTCACATGTTATTTCTCATGCCATCAAATTAGTGTTGTAATGCGGCCTATACCCGCTTGCGGCCGAGCTTAAAATTCGGTCTGATGACACATTCGGAGAATGGATTGGAACGAACTCGTCGTGAATGCCAGAAACGCAATCGCAGGGGGAGCAGTAGTAATCCGGACACGGCGGGCACTTGGGACAAATGGGCGCCGGGCAATGAAAGCACTTTTGCACACCGTCACACGTCGCGGACTTGGCACAATTGCACGTCTTCGGCTTCCTGCATCCGACGTTACAATCGGGCTTGTCGCAAAAGAGCGTCCCTGGACAACCCGACACGGTGTCGTCGGGACAGGGTGGGCATTGAATCGTCGGACAGCTGGTGGACTTGCACGGACACCTGGGGCATTTGGGCGTCGGGCATTTGCACGCCGGACATGCCTTTTGGTCGCACGTGCAGAAGCCCTGAGTAGCGTTCCTTTTGCACTCGAGTGGCGGCGGACAGTCGCAGGCAACGTGGCACGAGTCCGCCGGGCATTTGTAGTTGGGGCACGTCAATTGAGTACAAACTGTCGGCACTGTGTGAAACCAGAACCGCGTTTACTGGGATTGATCGAAATTCTCGCGAACCGCCGAAAAATCGTCATTTACGTAAATTCGTCTCTAGCCAAAAATATATATCAGCAAAATACGGTAATTAAATTATCAGCTTCTTGATCGGCGGGCGAGATCGAAGAACGAAGAGAAATATACTGTATCTGAAGTTGACAAATTCGGAGCGTCTAGAAGATTCCTGGAATTTTATTTTCAAATGCAGATAGACTATCTCTCTAAAACGATCTGGTCTGCGATTTTATTTGTGGAAGGAATTTTGGTTCCTGAGGGTTCTCCACCATGTTAAGAAGATGCTGTACAACGAAGTTTTGTCTGGCTCCTTGAATTTCGTTGTAGAGAGAGAGAGTCCATCTGTATTTTCAAGCTTCCATTTCATGGCGTGGATCCTCAAGAATAAAATTCGAATCAGGCTCATAAATTTAATATCAACAGCTCTAGACTTTTTTATTTTAGCATTTCCCCAAAGGCCCCCGAAATTTGCTGGGGGGCGAAAAATCGTGTGATTAATGGAAAAAAGTGATAAAATCGCCACTCAAGTATTCAAAAAACGTTTGGCATGATACAGTTTTCAAAATTTAGGCGTCTTTCGTAAGAGAACCTACCCTTGGGTAAGCGTGCGCCAATTTCTGCCGGAAGAAATATTGTTATTACTGTCAACTATTTCCCGCGGTTTCAAAAATTAGGGACGAATCTTAATCCACTAGTTTTGAGGTTCAAATACTTGTGCAGAAAGTCGCTGAAAGCGATCCTCCAGCTTTTCTTTGCCTTGTTGAGGTCCACTGGATGAATCTTATTTTGGGCATTTTGCAAAAAGTTTCGAGAAATCCCTGTGTGAAAAGGAAGTGGAAGAGGAGGAGGAGCATTCATGAACGCGTCTCAAAACTCGTTTACTCTTGGATGGAGTCGTAAAACCCTTGCTTTATGACCACGTTCCACCTCTAAATCTGCATCTGCGAAATGCCTCACCTCGTCACCTGCCTAAGGGCTGAACTTATACAACCCGGCTTTCGTTTTTTTTTTTTTTTTTTTTTTTTTTTTTTTTTTTTACGAAATGTAAGCCGTTACGTTACAGTGAGGACAGTAAAACGTGACTGGGATCAGACTAATCCGAACAAGAACGAAAGAGCCATCGAAGCACAATCCAGCTTTATTCGTCTGAATTGAAAATCCGTTGACCCACCTCTGGATGAAACTGTACTAAACACTGCATCACCGTACAATTCGATATTTTCGTGTGATTGAAAAAGTAGAAAATTTTAATCGCAAAAGTAGCCCGAAACAAACTTGACAAAATAAATGCCGAAAAATGGGAAGCGGAGGGAAAATACCGTTTACGCGTGACAGGAAAGTAAAGCTGGGTTCTGGCAAAGAGGCCTTGGTGTCAGTCGACGCGTCAGGTCTGGCGTGCAAGGGACGAATGATGTTCGTGTCGACGACGAAAGATTCGCCGCGGACGCATCTTTGGCACGCTAAACTGGAAAGAGCGCAAACCAGCACGAACCCAAACAACTTATTATCCAGCAGTTTCCCCATTGTTAAAAGGCGAGACGATATGGTTTTTTGTTTATTTCACGCCTTTCATGTCAATATTCCCCGATTGAACCGTCATTTCATGAGCACCATTATTTCTCATTTTCTCTTCGAATTCTTCATTTTCCTTCGAGCGGAACTGAACACTCTGGGGATGAGTGGTTAATGAGTGACTAATCTGGATTGCGTAATGGTAATGCTCTTTCGGGGAGGATAATTTTGAAAGTCTTTTGCATCGAGAAAAGCCTGATGAGAATTTTTCCCGCCATTTTAGGATCGGTTTGAAATGACGTCGAAGTGTTTTAGAGATTCCCCGTCGGGTGTCCCTGAATTATTTTGACGAATGTACATTACCTGTACAGTATGTTAATATTTCTTCGTTAGTTGGAATGCATTCTCTGAATTATAATTCCAGATGGCTGAGGTTTTTGAATTTGCTATGTAAATTGGAATACGGTAATTGCCTGAACTTCAGTACGCCTCACGGGAAATCCTTGCAGTACAGTATTTCCGATCATTTTTCCGGTAGTATTTTTGCGAATTCTTTCTCGTTTTGTAGTAAATTTCCTTCCCTCTAGGGGGCTTATTTTGCTGTCAGTGACATTCCTCAGCATGGAATGCCGCGATATTCGCAGGGGGTTTCGAGACATTTGAATGGGGGCCTTTTTGCAGGCTGTCAATCGAAATTCTTCGCTTAGGGATGCTATTGAAAAAGGGATTCTGTAGAGATCGCACTCAGTGCTTTTGCAGGCTCAAAGAAATACTGTTCTCGCTGAGCCTCGAAATGACCAGCAGATTATTTTTGGGATATTTCGTGATGGAATGTTTTGGTTTATTGTCGATTTTACTCACGCCTAGAAGTCGTATGAATTGCTGAGCGGTGAGAAATTTCGGTATCCATTTGAAGCAAGTTTTTACTTCCGTAAGTGAATTTTTGTTTTCGTATAGTTGTCACTTTTATTCTTTATGACGATCTACTTCGACATCGAGATGATCTCCCGAAATTCCACCTGCATATATTTCCCTCATGTCTGCTACTAAATACTGTATTTCCATACTGAAAGAAGATCCATTGGTTCGAGGTGAAATTCTGCATAAAAGTGGGGACACTTTTTTTTTTTACCGAGTTTATATGACACCCTTGATTTGATTTTGAGGAAAAATTCATTTTCCTTTCTCATTATGATGAAGGGTCTGTTCTGTTTCACTTTTGTTGAGGTGATAAATCCTTCGTAGTTGGGGGTGCTAATCGATGTTTGCCAGGTTACGCTTCTGAATAATTAAAGCTGATTATTAATTTATTTGGGATGGCAGATGAAGAAATTCTTTTGGGCTCAGATCCCCTGAGACCTTTGTTACGATTGCGAGGAAATGAATGCTGAATAGCGTAGCCGACTTCTTTCGAGAAAATCATTCGATTTAAAATTTGTCTGCCCCGGGATGCGCGCAGGTGTGCAAGGCGAGGGAAACGATCTCGCCTCCGGGGGTTCCCAAAATATTCCCACTTGCCCATTTCAGTTGAAAAACGCCAAGGACCCCTGGGTAGCTTATGTAAGGTTTAAAAGAAGAAAAATCGGAGCGAAGAAAACAAAAAAACGAAACTACGGTAGAGTGAGAAGAATAAAATACTGGACCCAGGTTCGAATTTTGCTGGAAGACCCCGTCGGGGGCAGTAAATTAGTCCGGGGGCATTTTGATGCGTTTCGGTGCGAGCGAGCGAGTCGGAAAGCGATTTACGATTTTCCGCCCTCGCTGGGCATGGGTGTTGTTTTAATGAGTAACGTCGGGTTATTGCTGCCCGTGGCGGCCCCGTTTGAAAGAGAGAGATTTCCCCGGGACTCGACTTCATCAATTAGACTCGTGGGATTGATTGGATAAACTGGATGCTCTTCCCTGAATGAGTTTCCCTCTGCGTGTCGGTTGGCCTCCTATTGTATACGAGATGGCATCCCTTTGTATCTCTGCTCTTGTTTCGAACCAGCTGCTCGTGACCAGGCAATTGAACTCGTGTCAAAAGCTACGTGTGTGAAAAAACAAATACAGTATAGCTTTGAAACAGAAATAAAAGCGTTGGAAAACGGGCCTGTAAAACGAATGCCCTAAATCTTTTTATTGCAGCCCCCCCCCCCCCCCCCCCCCCCCCCCCCNTTTTTTTTTTTCCCCCCCCCCCCCCCCCCCCCCCCCGAAAGAAGCCATTATTAATTAGTACTTGACTAGATGGTTTATTACTACCTAAGATTCTGCAATTCGGAGGAAAAGACAATGGTATCCATTATGGGTTGAAATCTGCATTGAATAATTTAATGACGAGTACAGTCGAACCCATTCAAGTCAAACTTCAAGGGACCAGTAGAAAAAAATCGAATTAGGACGGTTTCGAGTGACGGAGACAAGCATTTATGTTGAAAGAATAATTACAGGAAATGTAATCGGTGATATTCTGGGCCTTAAATTGTTTCTTGAATGAGTTGACAGGATGCTGAACTTGGAGGCAAAGATTTATAATGCTCAATTTGTCATTCACTTCCTTTCAGAACACATTGATGCATTTCTATTTATTTTCTCTTTCCTGTGTCAATAAAATCATAGCCAAAAAAGCCTCCAGAAAATTCCAGTTATGGAGGTTTGAGAAAGAAAGCCTTGCAGTTATGGAGGTTTTTTTAGTGCATTGTTTCGGAGGGATTTCGGACAGAGACATGAAAACAATTGACATGGGGTGGTATTCGACGTTAAATTAAATGGAAGATGTATTTTATTCAGTAGCCAATCTTTCTTCAACGGATTCGACATATTTTCTCAAAATCGCGTTTGAGGGAAGTTAGCAAGGCTCATTTCCAAGGTACGTTATGTACTCGGACGGTTTCCAGAAATACGGTGGTGGTCGGGTTAATTCAATAAATAGGTCGTGGTTTGAGGTAAAAGAAGTTTCATCTATACGGTACTTCCCTCGTGTTATTCTTGTTCGCTTGTCTTATTTTTTTCCCCGCATGTCTTTGATCACGCGTTATTTTGTCTCGCGTCGTTTCGTGACACGCTCAATTCTCCCGGAACCGTGTTTCTCGCGTGTTGGCGAGAATTGGGCGCCGCGTTGTGTTGTTAACCGTGCCGAAAGTAAATTAAAGAACCTCGTGGTATTCGTAGACTCGAGTGAGGCTTATGAAGTGTCCAAATACTGTATATAACGCGACGTGCTTCTTCTCTGGACGGAGTAATCAAATATGCAAATCCCATCCGATGAAACTTGTTATTCACGCGTTCCGAAGTCTCACTGTCTTTCTTCTGTCGTCTTCCCGTGAACTTCATAAGTGGCGCGCAGTTTCGTTGATCGTAAAATTCATGATGCGTAGGTTCGTTGGCGTTTTAAATGTTGTAAAAAAATATATATATTCGTGCGTTTCGAAATCCGTAGTAAACGACGTGACTTATTTTGCTTCTTACGCATGAAAGTGACCCCCGGCATCTTTTGTGGTATCTTGTCTACGTATAGGGACCTGGGAGGAAATGCGATTCAAAGCATCGAGTCTCTGGCCTTCCAAGGATTGAAAGAGCTGAAGGAGCTGTTCCTGGACGGAAATGGAATAGAAAACCTGAACGACGGCGCTTTCTTTGGACTCGGGAACCTCAAAGAATTGTGAGTTACTCGACGGGCAATGACAAGTCTGCTTCGTCTCTTTTCTCGGGGTTGTAAAGGAACCTCGGGTTTCATCCTTGAATGGCTCGCTGCATGTAGTACTGTGCTTCTTTCCGAGCATATTTTACTGGAATTTGTTACTACGGCATGATAATTTCTGTTGTGTAGTTCTGTTCGCGATTGGCTAAGAAGAGGATCTCGAGAATTTTATTTCCTTCCGCGCAGAGACAAGTTCTCTGACATTTGTAGCGGGGGTTCTCTTATCGTTGAAGCTTGAAAGCAAGGTCAGCGAATCAGATTTATGCCAGGAAAAGCACCACTGACTAATTTTAAAAAATGTACCTTATTTTTTATTTTATTTTTTAAAAAGTGTTTTTGTCGTATTTTGGTAATGGAACGGGTTCGGACGCGCTGTAGATGGAAACGCCTTTTTTGACATCAGGTGTACTCTCTATATCTGCATAATTATGTTAATTTTTCTGATGTGATGCGTTCATCATGGTTTGTGATTCTTAACTTTCTGTTAGTGAAGTACTACCGTATTCATGATCCACAGAGCATTCCTCTGTTTTAGTATTCTTCCAAAATTACGCAGTACTTGAGAGAACAAGTTTCGCAAGAGGCAGAAATGTGATCTGGTATTGTACAACAATTTCATCATTGATTCTCTCCCCTTTAGATCATCTTGACAGTTGACCATGTCCTGAAACGGTAACTGTCGAAGACAAAAATCGTTAACAATTTTGTAGCACTTGATCGCAAAAAAAAGCTCTTGCGCGAGAAACTGACCAACAAAGTGTTATTTCCCGTAAAATGTTCCGAACTGTCTCGCTGGGGGGAAAAAAAGAATGAAATTATCGCAAGGAATGCATTTTTCGGATGTCAAATTTTCGTACAGATTTTGGCATGAAAAATGGTACTTCCCTTGTGATATCGGAGGGTTTCATTGTTTTTCGCCAGCCCTGTTTTTTCTATAGACACTTGCCGTTTTGGGACAAGCTCCCAACAGTTGTCTTCAAGTTTATTCTGATGGTCCAAATCCTTAATTTGCATTTGGGTTCACACTGTCCTAGGCAAAAGGGTTGGTATGTTTTCTATTATGTAGGGAAAATGTAGGGCTGCATTTGTTTCTTTTCCCTCCGCTCTGAACTTGACCGTTTTCCACGTGTGTGTCCGGATGCTTAATTCGTGCGTGAATGTTGCACCCCCCGCAGATACTTGGACAACAATAACGTCTCGGTCGTGAGCAAGGGTTGGTTGTACGGCCTGAACTCGTTGCGCATCCTGACCATGTCCAGCAACGCTGTTGCCCAAATCCTTGACGGCGCCTGGGAGGAGTGCTCGAACCTTCAAGAATTGTAAGTCTTGACTTCGTATTTTAGACTGTCTGCTGGTTAAAATTTTTATTTATTTTATTTTATTTTTTTATGTGCGTGTGTGTGTTTCTACAAGCTTTTATTTACGTTGACGTGCGTTTCGGACGCTGATGTGCTGTGGAGGCGTATGAATTCTGAGTCCTTAATTCATCAGCTGCAGGAGAAATCTTTATTATCCCAGTATCGTAACTAAACCTGTCAGAGACTTTTGATTCACTTGGCAGGAAGCGAAGCGGACTGTTCATGTTTTTGCACTGGACAACGTAATCTATTTTTGATTGAGTAATTAACCGAACTAGTGCGCTTCGGGTTTGGGGAAATGCCGGGCCAATATTCAATTTTATTAAAGTTCTGCATGCAATTGTTGGCAGTACTTGTACTGTACAGTATTTGATTATCCAAGCGAAAACGCCTGTGATTCGCATGAATAAACTGCTTGTCATTTGAACGCTGTGTTTCATGTTTCGTGTCTGAGAAGATTTTGGGCCATTTGGGGCGTATTTCTTGAGATTCCAGCTTTTCTCAAGTGGGCGTTTTTCGTTAATCAATTTTTTTGTAATGTATTCAATAAATATGGTGATTGATTTCTATAAAAATTGAATGATAACTCCCGAAATGATCTGGAAGAGCAGATTTCGTTTCTTCTGAGTCTAGTGCGTCCAGACTAAAAATAATCTTGTGTTACGGATTTTTCGGTGTACAATTTCTGAATGATCCCAGTGAGGATAATTTACCACTTAGAATTAAATAAATAAAAATTGTAGCCTTTGAGAGTTTGAAAATGTGTCTTCGAACCGAAGTAAACTTTTTATAAACCGTGCGTCCTTTTTGACGCGTTGAAATTATGATGAAATATGTATTCTTCTTTTCGGAGGATGTAATCTATTGCGGTACTCATTAACCATTTACTGGATATGAAATGTGAAACACATCTTTCTGAAAAGCAGTTGATTTAGCGTTCTTGAATATTCTGTTGGCTTTTTGAAAATTGGTTCCAATGGGCAACCTTGTATTACGGCGCATTACATGTTTATTTTTACGTTTTGTTTATTCATGTCCGAAAACATTTTGAGTATGCGTGTTGTGAGAATGTTCGCGAATTCTTTTCGGGCATTTGGAGCGTAAAATTGTTGTTTTTTCATTAGCGGCGAATTCGTGCCGTAGGAATCCTCGGCATGGCCGGAATTCTTTTAGTGTCATGACGAAGGGCAGTTATCGTAGCAGAAACTGACTTTCCTCTCCCTTCGTGCACATCTGAAGTCCGTGGTACACAACCTTGGCGTGAACTCGACAACCCAGTTATTTCCCGTAACGACTGCGAGTAAAATCTACCCGGAGAAGCGGGTAGTTGTAAAATGGAACCTAAGCCACGAAATTGTTTCTCGGACGTAAAAGCGACGCGGCGTTCTATTTTTGGCTCCGCTAATTTCATTTTTTATTTTTATTTTTGCGACCCGCGCAGATGAAGGACGGGGAGAATCATTTTGCGCGCATTTTCTTTCTTTCGTTCATTTGTCATTTTCCCTCTTCGCAGAAATTTGAGCAGCAATGCTCTGAGAGAACTGAAGGACGGCGCTTTCAATCATCTGGCGAAGCTGAAGACGCTTTCGTTGGCGAGCAACGAGATTTCTGCCATTGGAGACAGTGCGTTTTCTACCCTGGAGGGACTTTCTAAGCTGTGAGTTATGGTTACATTTGTTCGTCTTCCGTAGCGACGTTTTATGGCTTGAATTATTTGTTAGCAACTACATGCACAGCGAAGTCCCTGTTCACTGTTGTCGTTTATTTATTTTCTTCAGTCCTCGAACGAAGGAAACCTTTCCCTGGGAGACAAAGTTTTCATCCATGAACCATGAGTCGAAACGTGGTTTTGTTTTTTTTTCTTTTCAACTTACATGAGAGGGTCGATAATTCATTGAGCGAAGTGACGGGAACAAAACGGCTATTCTGACCTTGTAACGAGCTTCTTCACTTGCGTCACGAGGAATGTGTTCGATTTTTGATATTTTGCTGACGGTGTTCGTGACGTGTTCCTTTTCCCACCGTCTAACACATGTGTTCGAATTTCTCTTTTCTCCCGTGGCCCATGTGCCCATTGCTCGCAATACGCGATGATAACGTACGGACTTCGTAAACCCATGTACAGTATTATACATTTTATGTTCCAAGTTGTCGCAAATTCGAGATTAGACGAAGATTTGAAAGTTTACCCCATTTATGAAAGGAAATGGGGTTTTCACTGCCACATTTGCATGAATCACGTACTTGCGGGTACTAAACATACGGAAACATTTTTGAAAAATTGCATAATGATTTCCATTTCAAAAATGTAAGTTTTGATGTAATACTTTGAGAAGGTTTTGGTACTTCTTAATGTGAAGTTTGCCGAGGGAATGTCAATCTGGGAGCGAAAATTCGACCAAGTTAAAGCTGAAAGTTAAGAACAACATTCAGAGAAGTAGGGGAGGCTTCTTTCAAATCTCCTCGTCATTTCGACGATTTAAAAGTGTAAACTGAGTTATCGAAAGCACCTGATTTGAAGGTGCTGCACTGCAAACACACAACTTTTGAATCATCCCTTGTTTCCCTTTCTTTAAAAATATGATCAAATAAGTGCCTTACTCTAATCCTCTAACCCTGGAGTCATGAATATATATATTTTTTGCCTTGTGTTTTGATGAAAAGGGAATTGGGAGAGTGTTCACGGTGGATTTTTCGTTAATGCTCCTTGTCGTTTCCTTCGTTCCAGGGATCTCAGCTTCAATCACATCGATTGGGTCATCGAGGACGAAACGAGCAAAGGGAGGATCTTTAGTGATCTCGGTAATCTCCACAGCCTGGGATTGCGTGGGAATAGGATTCGGTCAATATCTGCCGTAGCATTTGCACCACTGAAGGATCTCCGCTCGTTGGATCTTTCGTACAATCCAGTTGCTTCGATCCAGGAAAATCCCTTCATCGATATGACGGTTAGCCCTGGTTTTCCAGATCTTTGAACGGGGTTTCTTCGAGGGTTTTCGAGTGTTATCAGCTGACGATGCCTCGGGGTTTCCTGTTCCGGCGTTATCGTATTGATTCATTTGTTCTAGACAAGCGAGGGCATTATGTGCATCAGTAGCGATGACTTTTGCGTTCTTCTTTTGATCAATTATGCATGCATGTACGGTACATAATTTTTGGTAGAAATTTGTTGGCCCATTTCATTCCGTAAGTTTTGAGCAAGCTTTTTTACCCATGATTTTTTTTTAAACAGACACCGGATTGTTCAATTTGAGGATGCATTTCATCAATACTTTTCATTTTCCTTATGCAGTGGCTGGAGTCATTGAAGCTGAACACTACAAATATGGTTTGTGACTGCTCCATGAAGTGGTTTCCGGAATGGTTGAACAATACGAAGCGAATCAAGACGGAGGAAATTCTTGCGAAATGCTTCCATCCCGTTGAGCAGCGTGGAGTTGACGTGACTGATCCTAGCCTCACTTCAGCCACTTGTTGTGAGTTTTATTTGAAAAATTGTCGAAGTTGATCAGCTAAAGCATTTGTGTTCACCAGTCATTTGCATTACTTCTTCTCTTCGTTTTGTTGAGTTGAATTAATTTTAATATTTTCCCGTTTCTAGCTTCGTTTCCGCGTCTGAGAATAGAAGAGTCGCCTCAAGCCACTGTGGGTCTGAGTGGATCCAACGTCACACTGAAATGCCGGGCGAAGTTGACTGCAGATGAAGTTGACACTTCGAATGATCTGATCAAGTTCACGTGGAAAAAGGACAAGGTTCCTCTCGCTCTCACCAGCGTGCAATCGGATTCTCGTCGAAAGCGTGACGTCAGTCGTCGACAATGGTTGCTTCAAGCACGTCGCATGAAACGTGCTCTCGCACGATCAACTAAAAAATCCGGCAACTTTCTTCTCGACGGAGAACCGGATTCGACGAGCAAGCGACACAGTGAGCCTGGTGTGAGAGTCAGCGGAGCCCAGTATTTCCAGGAAGTGTATGAGCAAATCGCCGACGATGGTGGGCTTGTGAAAACCTCAGTGTTGAGCATCGTCAACATATCACAAGTCGACGCCGGTCGATACCAGTGCATCGTGTCCAATGGAATTGACTCCCTGTACTCGAAGAAAGTTCGAGTACTTGTGCACGGTGAGACCTACTTTATTTTTTCATTCTTGCGCCCGAGAGTGGAAATTGAACAATTATATATTCTCTTCAACGTTCTATGAAGATATTTTTGTTAGGAACGAAGAGGTGAATCGTTTATTTCGTCGATGGAAGCGGAATAGTTTTTAAATTGAAGGTTCACAACAAAGTAGAAAAATGGGTCTTCGTAAAATTGGAATTCTTTTGAATGTGCTATAAACTTTTTTTAAAGTAAGATGACTCGCAAGTAAAATTTGCCTCTTCTAAAATCGTCATCTTCTCTTGGTATGATTTTCCTCTGATGCAACGTTGGAAATTACTGTATCGGTATTTTGAAGGCTTGAAAGAAAATTCAGCGTTAGTAAGGGTCCCAAGTGCTGTATTCATTCGATGAATGAAAGCCACTGATCGTAAGATACTCTTCCATTGCGTCCATTTTTGTGAGAATCAGGAAGGTCTGTTGATTCTACTCGTATTGCTTCAACCGCCAGCCACATTTCTCAAAAGTCGTTAAACAACAGCCAGCATTTTAATTCCAGTGTGATCGGTCTGAAAATTGCAGTTGGTAAACATTTTAATGGAGTTTCCTCTTGAAGATTTTTGGGTCAGTAGCAATTATGCACTTGAAGGCGAACCAAAGCCCGATAAAATATAAAGACTACGCCTGATTTGTTTTGTGCAAATGTTCGCTCATAAGTGTGTCTAAATTCTGTAACGTAAATACTGTATAACCGAGTAATAATTACGACGAACATGAGCGTGAAAAATATTGAGTGATTCTAGGTAGTTCGTGAATGTAAACGTTTTCGTGAAAGCCGTTTTGGACGAAATGCTCATCTCGTTTTTTTCCCACCAACTTCCGCAGAGAAACCAAAGTTCACGAAGTTCCCCAAGGACGTGACAGCATCTCTCGGTCAAAGTGCGAAGCTGGAATGCGAAGCAGAAGGCTCCCCGAATCCCCAAGTCTCTTGGAAGAAAGACGGAGGCCGTCATTTTCCCGCTGCTATGGAACGACGCATGAATCGATACCCGGGGGACTCCGATATTTTCATCACCGAAGTCAAGGTTGAAGACGAAGGCGTCTACACGTGCACTGCAAATTCTTCCGCCGGCATGATTTCCGCTAATGCGACGTTGAGGATTATCGGTGAGCCCATAGGAAACAGAATCTATACTTCCTTCGCGTGTTCGGATTGATTCGAATAATCCGTTTTGGTATTGTAATCGCTATGGAAAGTCTAGAATGTATTTTCGTGCTATCGTTACCGGCGATATAACTGCAAATAAATCACGGTCTAGTCCGTACTTACGCGAATTTAGGCCACATAAAAATGGGGATTCGAAGGAAGAATGCTGCCAATGCCAAATTTAAAGCTAAAATTACATTGAGCTTGCTTCACGGACTGCTACGAAAATTTAATCCGTTTGAAGATCTGAGGTAGAATACCGCTGAAGAAGAAGTACTCGTGCATTGATAGCATAGGTCCATCACGACTAGAAGAAAAAATCTTCCACACAGGAATATTTCTCAGAAAATTTCATGGAGAAAGTCCAGCGTTTCGGTGCAGTACTTGAAAAATCCGTTTCGTCATCGTTGTTTCGAAAACCTAACTTACTGCTTTCTTCTTGTATTCATTCATATTGAATTTTTTCGGCCTGAATACTTTTTCTCCGGAGGTTCGCCCATACTCTATTGAATGCGCACTAAATCTCGTTTTTTCCACTCCAGGTAAATATTCCTTTACTGATGCCGACGTTGTGAAAGAGAAAAACGTGGTTGCTGGAGACACTGCCATAATCGAGTGTCGTGCGGAAGGAAAGCCTCGACCCTCGGTAGAATGGTCCTTTAATGACAGGATACTGGAACCAACTGAAAGACACATGTTCACTCACGACGGTCAGATTTTGCTGATAGTGAATGCCCAAGCGATGGATGCCGGTGTTTACAAGTGCTCGTTGCCTGGGAAGGTTTCTCCATCCACTGCTACTAGAGTTTTGAATATCGGTGAGCATCATGAATTTGCATGCTTGCACAGTGTTTCTGGCTTCACGTTTTTCAACACAAAATTTGCTGTACTCCGCGTGTCATATGCTTTCTCAGGATCGCATTATGGCTTTCAAGTCTTCTAAGTTTTACCGCTTTTAAGACAAGATGTGATTACTGTACTTGAAAACGTATGAAATTACTCCATTTCTCACGGAAATTTAGTGTATTCCGTACATCTCTTGCACCCTCTGAAAATAATTCGTCAACTTCGTAAGGTCTTTCGGTACGTTTTATTTCAATGCCATCCAGATTTGGGTTTTGTTATCAAATTGCGTACCACATTTTAAAAATGTCAGCTCGACGTTTTTCTGCTCTCGCGTACCACCCAACAAGATTCACTTACCACTTATGGTATGCAGTCACCTCTCAAAAGGCGCCGGATTTATTACTTTTTTTAACGAAATTGAAAATATTCGTAAGAAAATCGGGGAATGTAAGCAGGTGGCGGTTAATGCTTCACATGACACCGCTGACGCTTGGTATTTAGAATGTATGGAACTCATTCCCTGCCATGTCTTAATAATGGTACTGTACTGGTACGACGCACAAGAAGCTCGAAGAGCCGCGATGTCGGTAGCAGCTTCATCATGTTTCATTAACCATATGTTGTGTTTTTGTTTTCCAGCTGCCCCGAAGAAGGATGGAGACTGGGCAGTGACGGCAGTCGTGCTCTCCGGAGTTATGTTGGCATTTGTGACTGTGGTCGTTGGCGTCTTTCTGGCCGTGATTCGTTTCGTGAAAATCAAAGCCGCCCACAACACTCTACCCCGAAGAATGCCTCCAATCGGAAACATGTTTGAACTCGATGCCATGTTACCGGGCTCTGGTTCATTTCAAATGACGCACCAGGTATCCGCGTACCACGACTACCACTGCAGTCCCGAGCACGTTCCGGGCGACGAAATCCCCGTTCCGTTCGGTTTGGAGGGCGTAGCGACGGCGACCATTCCCGAGCCTGAGATCATCGTTCCGGATCACGATATGGAGCAGGAAAGACGGCAATTTGCGTTGATGGATGACGAGAGTGACCGAGCCAGTAGTAAGGACAGCGGAACCGGAACTGATAGTGGGGCGAATGTCAGTGCTACGGGAAGTGGAGGTGCGAACGAGCCTCGGATGACTACAGATTACGCGAGTGCGCAAGAAGTCCTTCGTAGCCTCAGAGAGAGCTTGTTCGTGAACGGAGTCCGAGGTGGCTCTGTCAATGTATTATCCCCTGAAGGTACGTTTATTTTTCTTCAACGAAGAACTTCGAATACTTCATGAAGAACAAAACGAGATTCAATATACAAAAAAAAATTCCTTGAGAGTGTATGAGATCTCAACGAGTAGAAAGAACGAAGGAGCCAAAAAAATACAGTTCCTTGCGTGGAAAATATCTTCAGGGATGAAATCATTCTAGAGATGGGTCACCTCGCGAAATGTAGCGTTAGCTTTCATCCCGTCTTCAACAGATGGCTGGTCAAGAAACTAAGAGTATTACAAATATCAACGGGAAGATGGAACTTTCCACGTGCATTTTTATATTTTCCCTCTTTAGATTTAGTAATCTTGATTACTTTCATGTGAGGAGGAAAAACAGCATTGAAATGATTTGATATCTGTTGAGTGGCTGTACCCTCTTGAAAAAAGTTTTTCTGCAACCTTGTCAATTTGGCCAGAACTCAAAGCATGCGAAATTTCGATCTTATTTTAAAGTTCCTCTGTTGTCAACATTTGCACTTCTGAGTATTCTTCGGTGACCTGAGTATACTCGAAACTGTTGCTTCAGCCATCTTCTTGTGTGAACTCGAATTTCGTCCTCATGAGAGGGTTTATTTGTGAAAGGGAATTACCGTACCCAGGATTTCAGTTTCCTTGAAATCGTCAAGATTGATTGTAGTTTCCGCGCAAGTTACATTTTTGATTCCATTCAAGTTTGTTCAGAAGTTTTTCGCGAGAAATTCTGAAGCGTGGATAAAGAATCTGTCGCCGATGTTTTTTACCACGTGCGAGGACCGTGAAATTCAATTTTGACGGGAACTTGGTTGAATTGTGATTCATTCCGTTCCAGGTGGAGGTGATCGATGTGCAAAGGGCAGAGAAGAAAATCCCTGTGTTTCTCCTTCCCACTCGCCGTGCACTTCACCGGTCCCGCGATCCAATGTTCAATACCTGCACCCGTTTTCTCACCATCGGTGCGAAAGCTCCACATCCGTGGATGGGCTGCACAGTCCAACACGATGGTCACTCCCACCACCACCTGACGAAGAAGTTCCCATACTCTGTCATGAAGTTAGCCGAAGCCAGATGACATCACCTGTGTTCTGCGGCGGTGGTGGTGGTGTCGTCGTTGGTGGTGGCGGACGTAGTGCGTATTGGGGCGGCCACATGAACCCGGGCAAGTTCCGGCGCCGCGGAGCATATGCATCTGGTCGACAAGACGCAACCAAGTCTGGAATGGTGCTGGCATTGCCGCGGACAGAGTCGAGCTCTTCTGCGACCAATTTTTCTTACGGGTTCGGGGTGTCTTCGCCTGATCTCAGTCAGGAGGGCGAAGGGGAATTTCTGAAACCGCCGTCGCTTGCTGGGAGCGGCAGGAACAGTGCTACGTTGAAGCGAGGCCGACTACGAGCATCTGGAACATCCCTCAACTCCATCGGCGCCGCGCCGAAGGGGAAGCAGGTCGAGTGTCCGACAGTGCCTCCCCTGAAGTCATCGACAGAAGCACCCAATAGTCGTGATGTTTTTCGTTCATGAGTGTTTTTGTATTTGAACCCTTTCCGTGTTCCACTATTGACACTCTCGCCAAGCCCTTTTCCTACATAATGTTACCGTGCATGTTTCTTATCTTTGAGGCGACCTTATGTTCGAGGCAATTCGGTGATGTATCTTGAAAGCTTCGGCAACGATGGAAACTGAACGATTACTTTCAACTTGAGTAGGATTGAAAATGGCTTGGCGAGAATGTTCGACGTGGGTGAACCATTTTTTTTTTTCTAAGTGATTCGAATGCCCTGGTTTTCCTGGGATTCATTTGTGATCTCATTTTGGAAGCACAAAGTTGTCAAAACTCGCATCCTAACACCCCGGAAAGGATTTTAAGTTATTCCTACTTTTTTATGCTCGGTTTCCTATGTTCTTGTGGCCGCAAAAGTGAGAATGATGGACTTTTTCGACGTATTTACTAGAGACGTTATGAAATTTGTGTGAACCTATTCGTGCAAAGCTGCAGCTATCAAGGATTGAGAAGCTTAATTGCTGTCGCGAAAATCTGACGAAAATCGTCGTTCTGCTTCGCGACATTATCAAGGGAAACGTCAGTCATATCGTTCGTTATGTTGGGAACATGCTCTAAATATATCGAACGCTTTTGCATTTAAGTTGAAAATAATAATTTACATTAGTTCGCATTTAGATCAAACGATTTTATATGCAAAAAGTGAGTTTGTTGTCAAGAACGCCAATCGAATATCAAAAGCAACCTCGTTGTTGTCATGTGGACCCTTGATATCTGAATCCGATGGGTTTCTAGTACTGTAGTTTTTACTTCGTATGCCTATTTGAAAAAAAAAAAAAAGAATTATCGAGTGTCTTCCGTAAGTGAGAATGGAACAAGTCGGGATGCGTTTCTGGGGAATCAATGTTAACTACTTGACCGATATATTTCTTGAACTTCGTAGTGGAACACTTTTTCTGCAAAGATGTTGACGAGCATTAACTTTATCACGAATTTGACACATGTCTTTTTCTACTGGAAAAATTCCAGACGCTGTGATTATGCTTTCGGGTCTTTTTGCGTGACTGTCCAATTTTTGATTCATGAGTTCTTCACACTGACGACTACTGAAAGATCACTTGAATAGTACAACAATGAGAAATTTATCGACTGGAACTGTTGCGTTTCTGAAAATTTCGGGAACTATTTCCGAAATAATTCGCTATTCGTTGAAATTGAGTTGACCAGAGCTTGAAAGCGGCATTGACCCGACGTCTGCTGCGATTATTTCCTTGAATTTCATGGGCTCTTGATTGGGGATCGCGCCTGTGCCATTGATGTTGATTCCTTTATTTTCTTTTCTTTTTCCGAATGCCCTTTTGACTATGGCTGCTCCAGGTTTTTGGCGCGGTGTTTTGATTTTTAGGAAAGGCAAAACTCGTTGTTGGTGAGTTGAAAGTTTGTGATAATTCTTTTTACCCGTCGGTGTAATACATCCACGGCATGAGCATGCCATGCTTTTTGCAAATTCGTCTTTTTATTTCATGCAATCGAAAGTTTTTGATCATCATTGATCTGAAATCAAGCAAGCGGTGAAGTCGAAATCGCAAGTGACGGTAAGTGTGTTTCTCACCCTGTTCCGAATGGGGGTTCCCCTGGGCCTACAGTAAGGACCTCCCATGGAAACCCTTAGGAACGACATCTACCCTTAGCAACCGTACTAATATTGAGCCACCAGATATCCCACCCAGATTGACAACCGGATGCAAGATAACCATCTGAACTGGAGGAGAGGTGGCGAGGCCGAGATCGGAAGCATCAGACGGAATTTGACTCTTGACCAGCATTGTTGTTTTTATACTGGACTTTGGGTATTATTGTGTGATCAGTGTTTTGAGTGTTTGCTGTCATCGACCGGACTTGGCGGAGGAAATAAACTCTGCTCTAACGTGGTGCTGCCCGAGGACCGATCTGTCAGACTTTACTCTGCACAGTATATGCTCGAAATTCTATGATCAAGCGGAACTCAAGTGATATTACTGTGATTAAAATGTATGCGAATTTTCGCTCATCTGCTGTGTGCGAGCGCGTATTATCAGCACATTCGTTAGCTCCCGTGAGGGAAGATTTGCAATGAGTGTTCCTGAATGAAAACGGTTATTCCAGAATATCAGTAATTTATTTGGGATGATCAACCGAAGTCTGGGGAAGATTTTTCCTTGCAATTAGATTATGTTTTCTTCGATGCGATAGCTTGTTCTAAGAGCGTTATGCCTGTGGGCAGCAATGCGCAAAAATCTAAGGATACTAGGCTTTGGCGCGACACCAAGCGGCGTAGTGGAAATCTCCGTTCTGGTTACTGTATAATGACTAACATCTAAGAGTGACGTCCTCGCGAAAAGCTGCTACTAGCTGAAAAACGCATGTGGGGTCAGGTGTTATCCTATGCATTATTGATGGGGAGCAACAGAGTGATATAAAATTAAAATCATGGAGCATGGGGCATAAAAAAATTCAATATACCTGTAATGCATTATGTGAACTATAACACGTGATACAGCACATAATATTTAAAACACTCCTCTGCTTCTCTAAGTAAATCCTCCATTCAGATTCCAAAAAACCTTTTGGTACTTTTTGATATTTGCTATGACTATTTTATATAGCTTCGTTCCCAATAATACAGGTGCACTCGCTCTACAATAAAATTCTAGGGATCATAAAAAAGAATTGTTGAGGGACTTTCGTTGAGGAGAACCTGCTTGCAACATTAGGAGAGGACCACACCGTAAATGGAACTGAAGAAAAATTTGTTATGTTGAGAAAATCGTTGTAGGCAATTAAGATCATTGCATCACCTGTTATAACTAGCATCCATTTTGTCCATTTCCATGCTTTTGAGTGCCAAGCTTAACTTCAAGTGTTATTTAATATTTCATTCAATATTTCATTTAATCTTCGGCATTTTTATGCTATTATGGCCCCCGTCAGCGCTCATGTACATGCAATAACTTACAGTACTGTACATTCAGAAGTCTATGTATCCTTCATCCGTCAATAGTTTACAGAAAATGAAAGTTTTCAGCGTTCACGAATTTTGTTGAGAATTTTGTTACACATTTGTCCTGATGCAGAAAATCAGGGCAGGAACTTGGAGGATTGGATTAGACATCATGCATTATACAGTATGTGTTTTTTTTCTTTCCAAAGAACCAGCTATCGATTGACGAATTCCTCTAAGAGTTGCTGCTTCTTTGTTTCGCAAGTCTTCCACTCTCCTGTCCATGACGGCAAAGCTTGGTAAAAGTTTATAGTGGGCTGATCTCTCCCTGAGTTCCCTGCTGTTGATTCCCCACCAGGGAGCTGCAACCCTAAGGTGCAGAGCGATATTGTGACCATGTCCAATCCCATAGCTGGCATCTGACGCATGCCCAGCAGCCAAGCATATTCCTGAAAACTGTGGACTCCTAACTCATATATACTGTACTGTATAGTATACTCATGCCTCTCCTATGAATGCCTGTGCTGGAAGGAAAGGGGGTGCAGAAGCCCATGTTGCACGCATGGAAGCCGTGGGTGTGGGTGATAAAGAAGTCGCCTGTGTTTTATTGCATTGGTTTCTTGTGTAAGGTGATGCCTTTTTTTATTTAGAGTTTCATCATGAGGAGCTAGGTGAGCCATTTATAGTTCAGTTGTTGTTTTATACGGTGTTCAGTATATGCTACCCATTTTGCGCCGAAGTTCGTAGAATCATATGCAAGTGTGTTTTAATGACTCCTGCATTTCTTTTATCCATTCATATTTTCTCAATAGTAATCGAGTCTTATACAGTATATATATATATGTAGAAATTATATGAAATATATCCTCTCTCTATATAAATGTAATCACGACCTCCGAATGCCATTTGAGATTTTCACAGATCTTTCGAACATGTGAGCTGCACTTTTGTTGCTAAATTATTTTTTAAAATAATAATATCCATATGTTTTGGGATGAAGTACGCAGAATAAATATGGAGTTCATTCATTGTTTTAACGCGTTTTTGGTTGGTATCGAGATTCTTTGGATCTGCTTTCTGATACTCATCCAAGTATAGGGCGAGCTGCTGATTGGGTTGAAGTGATGTTTATTGACCTAAGCAATGCAGGTAAAAATATAATAAAAACAACAACGAACTATTGTAGAACAAGACGTTCTGCATTCAGGTCGGACTTATCAGAGGCAATAAAATATTGACGAAAAATATTTTAAAATTCAGCACGACTCTTGGTAATTCTGAAAATTTCTGGACAATGTACACAATTGTTCAGAATATTTGAATCATTTCATGGGTCAATATGAGGGGTTTCTCATTTTTTTTCAGAGGACATTGGAAATAAATAATAATCATGGAACCTGTATGCCTCATACAATTTCAATACAATGCACAATGGAACCTTATTGTCACAACGAATCTTGTAGTTGCAACAAAATAACGGTTTGTTACAGAAAATTTGTTTTTCATTTTCCTGGCCAGTAGTAACAGTGTTATTCATAAGTCACTTTATGATTAGTTCATCTTTATAACAAAATCTTTTTTCTGGCCCAACAGGAACATTTAGCAAGATTTTACTTTAATAGACAATATTTGTACCTGAAATATTGTCATGGGAAATAATCTAAACGTCTTATCTGAGAGATTGGTGAACTAATCTTTTTATACAGTACTGTATAAAGTGGGTCCCCATTTAAACAACTATAATCCAGTCTTATGGATGCATTTTGTTAACATGATTTTCCTCTAGTTGCAATAAAAAATTCAAATCCATTCCAGGCACTATATGTCCTCTGCAATTTAAACCTGAATATTTTTGCAAATTTTCAGCATAACATTTTGAATGTGAAACTAATTGGTTTACATTGAATTAATATAAAAAACTGTGTTCTCTTAATTTTCTTAAATTCTCTCATTTTGAAGACTGTAGCAAGAAGACATATATTTCTCATCATCTTAAATTTCTAGTAAAATCGTAAGTTTCAGCTCAAAATGAAATACAATGTAATTTGTACACTTTTCAGCCAAAAATGTCTTGAGTCACCTTCTTCACCCCAAAGCCTAAACAATTTTACTGTGTGTGAAATTTCATTCCTATGTCCCTTTTGTAAAGCGGGGACGCAAAGCTATAAGGGGGTACTTATAATGAAGTGCTCCCTATAAAGAATAAGCCCTGAATGAATATAAGGACCAAAGCAATTTGAACGGTGTTGGGTTGAGGAAGAAATTCAATGGACCAGATTTCAGCTGTCTGGGACGTCAGAGGGTGCCCTATACAGTATAATAATCACAAACGCCGGTTTTAGTGTTCTGAGTCTTCAACACTGCAATACTATCACACATTCGACAGTAGTTTCCCGGCCATGCAGCTGTCTGTCAGTCAGTTGATAAAGAAGCAATCCTGTACATGGGGGAACAGTTGTGGGTGTTCATTGCTTTCCCGGGTGGCGCACAGTACAGCTAGTATTGATGTTTTTAGTGTGTTTCGCCTGTGTTGCCTTTGGATTGCTTCATTTCCTCCGTTCCTGGGCTGATCGCACTTTTATTGCCAGTTATTGCCACGTGGACCAGGAATGTTCGTCTGACGGTTACATATGTGAATTTTTATCTTTTTTAGTGATGAGCTGTTGTGAGTTGTGAACTATTCAAAGTGAGTGGCCAAGAACTCAATGGGGTCTTTTTCTTTGAAAAAAAAATCCGACATTGCAGTGATACTGTAGGGAAAGTCTACAGCTGTTTTTCTGTGTGGCTCTTTTCTCGGGAATTATGTGACAATTTCCGCGTAAACCGTTACAAGAATCATAGGGAAATCTTCCTCTCCTTGAAAAAACAACACGTCTTTGAATATTTATTGCACATTCAATGCATTAAAAGCATTTGAAGAAAAATTCGAGCGTATATCATCTGCTGTCAGATACATTTTTGATGGATTGGAAGTTTTAATATAGGAATGTGAAGCAATTTTCACTCTCAAATCACTGTTGCGTATCGTGATCAATTTTAACGTACGTGCTGTGTTTCAGTTCATAAACGGATTGAGGGAATGGAAACTTTCCACTTCAACATGAGTTCAAGTATTATAATTAGGTGATTCCAAAAATACAGTTTCGGATTTATATGATTTTCTCCAAAAATGGGGGTCGGCTAATATCTTCAGGAACAGTCTTGTTTTCAAGTGAAAAGAGAATCCTTGATTAACCGGGACTTTTCCAGCATGCATGTTGTGGGGTCGCGTCCACGCGGCGTGACCCGAGCGCAGCATCCTTGCTCGGGCACGCCGCGCAGAAACACGAAACCCAGGGGCCCGGAAGCGGATAGGGACCCGGTTTACCGCAATGAGGTAAACCGGGTAAGTAGCTGATAATTATCTCAGGCAGCAGAAATATGGACAAAGTCTCTGACGACTTTGGCGCTCTGCAATTGGAATTGCCTGATGGCAGTTGTGTTCTTGAGAGCTTTGATCTGACTGTTTGGAAGTGTGCACTAAAGTCTTACTTGTCCTTCTGCGGTTCCCTGTGGGTGGAATAAAAGGTGTTCTGATTTGAGGGACTCCAATTAGGAGGTTCCGGCCTTTAAAGGCTGATCACTGTGTCCATTTCTTTTCCTAACTTCTTTGTCATTAATCAGCCTGACACGTGTCCTGGCTCCAACATTTTTGTATTTGACAACCCCTTTCGATCATTGATGGATTCAAAGAAGCCTCAGAGAAAATTAAAGTGCAGCCATGGGAGAAGATTAATTCAGACGGAAAAGCTGGAAAACTCACTGGCTAAAAATATACAGTAATACATTTTTATACTGTACTTAATTCCGGTTTTTGTACTTAATTCGTACATAATTTCGAAACCGGAATTAAGTACAGTATACAAATGTATTATATTTTCAGCCACTGAGTTAAGCCAAATATAGGGCCTAAATCTAAACAAAGGTATTTCTTAAAAT